GACCCCGGGTTCGCTAAGACCCGTAAACACGTAAGAACGTGTTTCCCTGGGGGATAACAAATACCTATAAAATCGACAAAAAAAGGCAGGAGTACAAGACAGACCAACATAACAGTAAAAACAGTTCCCTAATTCGAACAAAAAAGTTGAACAGCTGATCATCCCTACCTATAGACAACCAAACAAGAGCTCGGGACCCCGGGTTCGCTAAGACCCGTAAACACGTAAGAACGTATTCCCCTGGGGGACAACAAATACCTATAAAATCGACACCACAGTTAAATCGCGTACCACAGTTAAAGAACCGCTGATTTAAATGCATATTGAATGCAAAAAATTGATTTAAGTAATGGAAAACTATTTACTTAACCGAGAATACTTAATTATTGTAAGTTTAAAAAAGGAACGAATTAAATATAAAAAAATAAAATAGTAACTAAAAAATATAAAATTAATTGATTTAATTATAATTACAGTTTTTATTCAAAAGAAAAACGACGTACCAGTATTTGTGGGAGTAAGTAGGTATGTATTTGTTTACCGTAAGTTCGTTTCACTCTGGATCGGCTTCTAGATTTCGGGTGTTTACTATGATATAGAAATAAATACAATGTTTTAATAATTAATTACATTTTGAGAACTAAAAAAAATAAATAAATAATTTTTTTATTTTATTACTATTAACATACACAATGGGCAGGAATTATAAAAAATATAATTTGTAAGAATGACAATATTTAACAAACGTGAATTGAACAAAATAAATAATATTGGACATAGACTATACCTCATAGATTATGTACATTATCAGGTTATGAAGTATGGATTATGTCTCATCGTTGTTCCTGTCGCCGTATGCCGCCAAAAAAATATTATTTAAATATGGATGTTTTTTATTTACAATAATTAATTTTTATTATGAAAAACATTAACCGATGAAATAATAAGATCTGTTTAAGTTGAAAAAGTTTTTATATACCCTCATTTAAATTTCAGAACGATTTATACTAAAATTATTATTCTATAGCGCATGTTAGAATATAATTATCTACAAATACAACAATGTATTTTTATTTGAAATATGGATTAAATGTTGAAAATATATCATATTTTACAACGTAAAAATCATATTTTTAAATATTCTTCAGTCGCGATAAAAGAAGTATGCCAAAAAAAAGTTTCCTTGTGCCTGGAGGACGGGGAGCGTATTACCAAACCAGCTAGAGCTCCAGTGCCGTATACAAATACGCTGTTTTAATTGGTTTATTTGAAAAAACCACGCAAATATATTTTTCTTTTATCAATTAGGCACAATTGATATCGTTAATATAATAATAACTCGTATAAATAAATAAACAGATACTAATTTCTTAAAAAAAAAATGTTAATAAAAACGTTAGAAATAACGTTAGAGAGTAGTGGGTTTTGTAACTTAAAAAAATACGATTTTTTTCAGGTTGATATGTTACACACTCGTTATCATAATGTCATTTTAAATTAATACCTATAATAATATCACAAAAATGTACCTATACATTATTACCAAATTCTTAATGTAATTAATTAATATCTAATTTATAATTTGATGATATATATATTATATATATATTATAGGGTAATTTTTCACAAGAATATTATCAGTCACTATAATTAAAAAAAAAAAAAAAAATACTAGGAAGAATGATGATTATTTAAAGTATTCTTCACCACTAAATGCTTTAATCAAAATTGTATGGACTCATAATCCTACCGTTGACTCATGTAATGCTTTAACATTTTTAAGAACAATAAGTGAAGTAAGAATGTTTTATAATTTATAAATGTCTTTTACTCAAAACAGAAATTGTTTTATTTATATCTTATTTTATGTTGTTTAAGAAAGTTGGCTAAACCCTATTTGATAAAAGAAAAATATATTTTCGCGGTTTTTTCAAATAAACCAATGAAAACAGCGTATTTGTATATGATGATGGGGCTATAACCCAGAGGTTCCCAACCAGGGTGCCACGGCACCCTAAGGTACCGCGATATAAAATTTAGGGTGCGGCAAAAATATTTGAAATATATATTTATTTTTAAGGGCCTTCATGAAAAATATAGCACTGTGAGTAATAAAACAGACTATACTCTATGTCTATAGTATAAAAACTATTGTGTAAAGTTAATTAGGTATATAAAATATAATTTAATGAATTAATTATTAAAACATATAATTTTTACATAGTAATACTGAGATGTTCAATTTATTTTAATTTTCATACTGGTTCGATTGCTATCGATTTGATGTGAACTGTTTTAGAGTTATTTACAGTCAAATACTTGTTACTTTGTCTTATCTTTATTATTTATTAATGCTAAATAAAACTGAAGTTACAAAATATAAATTTAAATATATGATATATTAGTATTGTGTATTCAGTATAAACTATAGAGTATAAAGCATTGGCTATAGGGTGCCTCCAAATTTTTAAAAAATAATAAAGGGTGTCATGAGTCAAAAAAAGTTGGGAACCTCCGCTCTAGCCGGTTTGGTAATACGCGGCCGGGGAATATATAAATTATGTCATAATTTTAAACATTATTATGTACTGAAAAAATATAAATAAATGTATTAAAAACATTATATTTAAATTGTTAATAAAAACGAATACTTTAATAACAAAAGAAAAAATGAAAAGGGATCTAGAGATTACTCATGCAGGTGAAACACAAAAATATATTTAATAATAAAAAATAAATACCAATTCAAATAAATTGAAATTTAATTTATAAATTTAGAATATTAATAATTTAACTAAATAAAGAAAGGAGAAAAATGTATTTAAGTAATGGAAAAATATTATTTACATAACAAAGAATACTTATTTATTTTAAGTAAAATAAGGTTATTTAATGGATTAAATATAAAAAAATTAAGTCGAAGCTTAAAAACATAAATTTGATCAATTTTGTTATAATTAAAGTTGTTATTCAAAATAAAAACGACGTACCGTTATTCCTGGGAGTAAGTAGATAAGTAATTGTCACTAGTAAGTTTATTTCACTTTTAATCGGCTCCTAAATTTCGGCTGTTTACTCTAATAAAAAGAAAAAGAAATAATAATTAATTTTTTTATTTTATTAGTATTAATATATATAATGGGCAAGAATTATAAAAACATAATTTGTAAGAATGACAATTATTAACAAACGTGAATAGAATAAGACAAGTAATATTAGACATAGATTATCTGTCTCATCATTGCTCCCATCACAGTAGGGCGCCAAAAAATATTATTTAAATTTAAATGTTTTTTATTTATAAAAATTTATTTTAACACATTAACCGATGGAATACTATGATCTGCTAGGTTGTAATAGTTTATATACCCTCTCATTTAAGTTTAAAACGATTTTTCCTAAAACTATTAGGCTATAGCTCATATTAGGATATAACAATGTATTGTTATTTGAAATATGAATTAAATATTAAAAATTGTGTCTTATAACAATAAATAATATTTATAAATACTTGTCAATCACCATAAAAGAAGTACGTTTAAAAAGGCTTAGTTTTTTAATTTATTTGTTATTAATATTAATACTCATATACTCTTGGGAGTAATCATAAAAAATGTAATTTGTACGAATGTAATGATTTAACAAACGATTTTTAAATATATTTTCCTATATAGCAGTACATGTTAAACAAAGAAGGAAACACCTAATTGATATGCTATCTTTTTTTAATACGATCGCTCGGGCAACACTGTCTAGTGAGCGTTCCAGTTATCATATAGTTCAATGGGCTAAATATGGTCAATATTATTTACAGACACAAAAAATGTTTACCTACAAAGATCCATTTGTTTTTTATTGTTGTTATCATTTGTTATCTTACTAGCAATTTAAATTGTCGATTTGTTAATAATGTTCTAATTTTTAAGTTTTGGTATATGTTCGTATATCAATAAAATGGATCTTTTAAAAGCCGAAATAGAAAAGAAAAGAAAGCAATTAGAAGATGCTAATTTAGTTGTAAGTAATTATTTTTGTAAAATATAATTCAATGTACAGACATTTTACGGAAATTATTAGTTATATTTTATACATGATTTTTATAGAATCCTAATCGAAAATACTTTAAAAGAGCTGATTTATTATCTAAAGAACGAGAAGAGTATTTGAAAAAAAGTACTGTAAAGATCGAAGGTCTTGAAAATCCTATAGAAAAATTTTCTTCAGGTTTGTTGCCTAAACATTTATTTTATTTTATGTAAATCTAAGTTTATGTTATCAGAAAAATAATCAATCCCCAAACTATTACATATTATTGTAATTATAAATTTATAAAATCTTAGTATTAACAGAACAAATTTTTCTTATAACCGTTAAACCTATTTATATCAAATGAATTTCAAAGTGAGTCCAGTAAGCAGAAATTAATTTAAAATTTTTAATTAAGTTATGATTATATAATCTACTATAGAGGTCTCCAAACTTAACTCCTAACTTATTCAAGAATCATATAGAATATTAACACATCATTTTTTATTTGATTGAAATATATAGTTATATTAATATATACTTATAAATATTTTATAGGTTGTATGCTAAGGCAGCTGCATACTCTTTGTTATACTTGACAGGTATACCTGTTCAGTTTACCTGCTTAGGCAACCTGAACTTGATTTAAAATTTATATTTTAGCATCTAGTAAATTTCTTCCTTTAGGCATATTTTTAAGTATATGGTTCTAATAGTTACAGATCTCAGTTGTCTGTACTGAACAAACAAAACAGTTTACATTAACATATTTTAATTTTGAAAAAAAATATCACGCAAGCCCAATATTATAAAATAATAAAATAATAATATAAAAATATATTATAAAAATCATTAACTATTACAACAGAGATAAGAAGTCAACTGCTTATCATAAACTTTCTGAAAGACTAGAAAAATTAGAACTAAGCGCTACTAAAGAAAGTTATATAAAAGAAATATAAAGTTATAATATATAATCGCTAAAATCAAGAGCATCTGCGGACAATGTTTACTAACTTTCACTTTGGTATTATAATCTTTTTAATTTTTTTTGATGATCAAGATATTCCATGAAGTTCATGTTCAAATTTAATTGATGAAGAAAATCAATCCAAGGCATTGTTTGACCGAGAATATTAACAGTTTTTCCATTTCATGTATGAACAATAGGATCTTCAAGTTTGCTAGACATGTATTCTTATCAAGTATAACATTGTGTGAATGGCCACCTTTACTTATTCTAATTTTCATTATTAATTTCAAATGTAGCCATTCTATATTTTTATTTATTTATTTTTTTATAGAAATAAACTCCTAAATAGGAAAAAAGTCTCCTTGCAATATTTAAATTTAGGTTCATCATTACAATGCAAATTAATTGTTTTAATTTGAAGGATAGAAAGGAATTTCTCAATATTACAATGAAATGGACTTTAAAAAATACATTTTTTTTTTCGAATTTTGTGTCTAGGTTAGAAAGACATTGTTGCGATTAGGTTTTAAATTCAGAAATTCTTTTTCAAATAGTTGAGTCAAAAATGTTGTCAATATATCTAATTTCTTTTACTGTTGAATTTAAATGTGTTTTTCAACTTGTAAATTATGGTAGAGGTGATAATTGACATGTACTTGCAGCAAGAATTTTAAATATATATATTTTCAGATCATGTATTATCCTTTGGGACAGTTTAGACTTGTTTGCAGGCTTATTATAGAGATAATTAGTCTAGTATTTGTACAATTACAAAGTTGAAAAAAATTAATTTATAAATTTCTTACTTAAAAATGTGTTAATCATTTAATTTTAGGTTCTGATGAAAGTAATAATGCCACATCAGAAAAACAAACTTTGTCTAGAAAAGAAGTCATTCGTAGATTGAGAGACCGTGGTGAACCTATTACATTATTTGGAGAATCAGAATTTGATTCTTTTAAAAGGCTTCGTAGAAGTGAAGTTGCTGAACCAGAATCAAATAAGGTATGGATTTTGATATTATTAATTAGATTAGTATTTTTACATAAAGAAATTTATGTTTCAGGGTTTTAGAAATGATTTCCAAGAAGCATTGGAAAAAGTTGATCAAGACTATTTAGATGAATTAATGACAAATCAAGTTCCCGAAAAAACTTATACTGAGCTGGAAAGCATGGAAGAAGCAATGGCTACCTATGAAACTATTCAATCTAAAGCTGGAATTTTAGGAAGGAGACGTGATCGATCTCAAGATATGGAAATTATTCTTCAACTTTTGCAACTGATACTGAAAATGTGGGAAGTTCAATTGAATGCAAGATCTGTTAAAGAAAAAGCTAGTACTAAAGGAAAATTATCATTAGCTACTTATAATCAAACACTAATTTATTTAAAACCATTATTAAGGAAATTAAAAAACAGCAGTCTACCTGATGATATTTTGGATAGTCTTACCCTTATTACTAAACACATGTTGGAAAAAGATTATTTAAGAGCAAGTGATGCATACTTGGAAATGGCTATAGGAAATGCTCCATGGCCAATTGGAGTGACTATGGTTGGTATTCATGCTCGTACTGGTCGAGAAAAGATTTTCTCTAAAAATGTAGCTCATGTGCTAAATGATGAAACACAACGAAAATATATTCAAGCATTAAAACGTTTAATGACTAAATGCCAAATATTTTTTCCTACTGATCCATCCCGATGTGTTGAATATGCACCAGATACATAAAAAAACAAACTCTCATAACATGGAAATATTCGTAAAATGTATTATTAAGAAATTATTAATGAATGATGTACATAAATAAGACTAATAAAATAAATGACTATTATATTTGTATTAAATACATTACAAAACATACAGTAATCTAATAACAAGCAGTTTAAATTATGTTTTTATTTCTCCCATTTCTTTAGATCTTTTAGTAGCTGCCTCAATAGCGTCCATCATTGCAGATCTAAAATAGTATGAAATATTTATATATTTATAAATATAAAATTAATAATCAACTCATTTAAAAATATACCTCACTCCTCCTTTTTCTAAAGCATGTAAGGCTGCAATTGTTGATCCTCCAGCAGATGTTACCATATCTTTTAGTTCACCAGTATGTTTACCAGTTTGTAAAACCATACGACTCCCTCCAGACATTGCACTAGCTGCTAATCGTACAGCTAAATCTCGTGGAAGGCCTTGTTTTACACCACCATCAGCTAATGCTTCTATTATGAGAAATGCCTTAAAAATGTTTATACAAATTTAGTATAAATATTCATTAGTTAATTACTCATTTATATAAATATATTATTTAATTATCCAGTACTTACATAGGCTGGGCCACTACCTGAAACGGCTCCTGCAGCATTCATTAATGATTCTGGTAAAATGTCTACTCCACCAATGGCACCCATTAATAATTTAATAGTAGATAAATTTTCAGAAACTTCTTCCAAATTAGCATCACTCGGATGAGAAATTACTGAAATTTTTTTTTAATTTGATAGAATTAATTGGCTATTCACATAATATTATAGATATAAATCATATTTATATTGTAATATATAGATAAAATAATAATTATCTTGTTAATACATTTGAAAAATATTAAAATACCTGAGAATCCTTCTCCAATTATACTAGGTGTATTTGGCATAACTTTAAATAAACAGCTTGGTTTTAACTTAAATACCTAAATTTTTAAATCAAATTGTACATCCATTTGTGAATTTTAAGTAAAAATAATAAATATTGATCTACAAAAAATCCATAATTAATAATATACTTGATGAGCATCTATATCAAAATCAATACTAAAATATTCCTAATAAATAATATTTTAATAATTTTTGGATGATTAAGAACTAAATTAATTACAAGTTATAAAAAATATATAATATAATATAATATAGTATTATATATATACATACAATATTTATTGAAACATAATTTAGAATTGATATAGTCAAATACCTAAAAGTTTTAATTTTAATATACATAATACATTCAATAAAAATGTTTCTTTTTATAAAATATATTTTTAATTTTGTATCTATTTTGCAGTAATTGTTCTAAACAGAATGTCATATAAATATTAAAATACTTCTTTTTCTACCTTGTTTTTCTTCCAACTATTTGGGGTTGACCACCTTTGTCCATAAACACCACTCGTCTCGATTTTCTACATATCCTATGCCCAGACATAACAGCTCATCTTGGTCTTCCTCTTCCTCTTTTTCCTTCAACATTCATTTTCATAACCACTCATACTGATTTTATTTTCTCTTGTATCATCACATGCCCAAATCATCTCAGTCTATTTTTTTTCATCTTGTTCACTATTGGCGCTAGATCAATACTACCTCTAACATATTCGTTATAAAGATTAAAATACGAAAAAAGCAAAAAATTTCTTAATATTTTTATAATAATTATGAATCAAAACAATAAACATTATTTATGGATAATTTTTTTGTGCAGATGTAATGTTCTATAACAGTAATTGATAATACTATTTAATTTGCTGTGTACATTAATTTAAAAAAATTTTATTAAATGGCTTACCTCTTGTAATGCACCAAGTGGTATTCCAGCCATAATTGATATTAAAATATTTAAAGGGAGTCCAAGAGTAGAAACAGATAACCCAGAAGCAACTTTGAAAAAATATTGGGGTTTTATTGCTAAAAATACTATTTTGGAATTACAAAACACAGTATCTGAAAGATTAATTAAATTATTAATTACCTATTTACACTTTAAATACTGGTACCCACTGGGTATTAATTATTTAGATATTTAATTAGTTAATATTATATAAAATTATAAATTTTTACCATTATCAGATGTTACAGCTGCACCAATATCTCTCCATGGTTTCTTATTGTTTTCTGAAGGTGCTGATACAAGCAAGTTTTCTGCTTTACACATACCTTTAGAAATTATCGAAATAAAAAGAAAACTTAATGAAATTGTTATAAATGTTTTTAATATGCTAGTATTATTAAGTAACGTTACCTTTTTTTATTAAAGCAAGTCCAATAGCTTGAGCCATATTTCCAGCCCCAATGAAACCAATTTCATATACCTTATGTGGATCATATTTCGACATACTTCAAGTAAATTAATGAATACTGTTTTTAATAAATTAATTAAAATTTTAGTTTTTAATATAGGTAGTTGTTATAAATGAAACACAAAACAATATATATAATTGTAGCTAGTACAAACTGAGATCTTTATTTGAGCTACTTTATTATTACAACTCTTGACCGTTGACACCAACAACTACTAAAGTAATTAAAATATTTTTATTCAAGACATCATAGTATATATAAAAATAATTTGTTGTGACATAGACTAAGATAAAAACTGATAAGGTAGATTTTTAATGATGTTCTTGGGCTCTTATCAGATTTTTTTTATTTTATTTTTATTTGTATAGCTTTTTACTAAAACAGCCAAGACCTATATCTTTCTTATGCTTAATAAATTATATATATATTTAATTAACAATTAATGCAGTTTAATCACATAGTCTATTTTGTTGTTAAATCAAAATGAAAAACAATAGAAGTTTGAAGATAAGCATTTAGCGAATAAAGATAATTAAAAAAAATTGTGATTTCATATTATTACAGACTATAAATTAAATTGTTGTCCTTTATTAACACATACTAATGTTATAATACATAGCTCTTAATCCACGGGCTTATACATTTAAAGCCCATAGTTTAGCATTTTTGGTTTTAATTTAAATATTTATTACAATAACTATTGATTATAATTGTACATACATTTTATAATTTAAAATAAAAATATATATATACCAATACTTAAAATATATTATGAAGAGAGGGAAATCTAAATGAAAAATATAACATTATTGAAAATTTTGTTTATTGAGGAAATCTAATGATTTTTAATTTATTCTTTCAGTAATTTGTATTAAAAACTAAATTGTATTTTCATTTTTTTTTTTTTTTTTTTTTTTTTTAATTAAAAAAAAAAAAAATTTTTTTTTTATTTTTTTTTATAAAATTTTAATTTTTTTTTTTTTTTTTTTTTTTTTTTTTTAATAATTAAGTACAACAAATAAACATGTTTTTTTGAATGATATTTATCAAATTGTAGTGTTCATTTTTTTTTTTTATTATTTATTTCAAAACTTACAATCTGTATTAACAAAAAAACAATAAGTAAATATGGTAGCGTGTACAACAAAACAATATAACAGAATGGCGTAATAAGGGAGACTATCCAATGATAGAACCCTTCAGACTTAAATTAAAAATAATTTATTAATTTTTTTTTATATCATAAAAGCTCTCGGTACCAGCACTTTTTCAGGCGACGAGAGGGGTTGTCAGGTAGTCTAAATGAGGACAAATAGGAAATTAAAGGATTTTGGTGTTGCTGCAATTTTTTATGAAATTTAATGTAATATTGTTTGGTTAGTTGTTCAACGGTTTGTATTTTTAAGTCCTTGTGGAGTGCATTAATTGTTACATACCATACAGCAGAGGCTATGAAGCGGAGAGATATGGACTGAAATGCTTGAATTTTTTGTATTTGAGATGATTTGGCGCTTCCCCAGATTTGAGAGCCATAGGTTTAGATGGGTCTTAAAAGAGACTTGTATATTGTTAGTTTTGAATTTATAGAAAGTTTGGATTTAAGTATTGGGCGAAGCTTGCATAGGTTAGGTTTAGTAATTTAGATTTTAGGTGTGGACTCCAAGTTAATCGTTTATCGATTATGATTCCTAGACATTTTACTTGCGATGTAATAGGAATATTAACACTTTGCAGATGAAGAGGTGGAGAGTTTTTTTTTTGAGTATGAATGGAACATGTAAAGATTTTTCGGGGTTTATTTTGACTCGCCATCTAGTTGCCCAGGTACTTATTAAATCAAGATGGTTTTGGAAAGAGGAGGAAGCTATATCAGGATCTATGTCGGAAGTAAAAATGGCTGTATCATCAGTATAGGTTGCGATAATTGTGTTAGCTGTTATGGGAAAATCGGATGTATATAAATTAAACAGATCAGAGGAGAGATCATTTCCTTGCAGGACTCCAGCAAATATTGAAAAACTTGGAGAGGTTGAGGTGCCTTGCCTAACTGAAAAAGTTCGGTTGAGAAGATAAGAACGGATTAGTAAATAGTATGGTGCTGGAAGGAATTTTTTTAATTTGTAAATGAGATCATCAAACCATACACGGTCAAATGTCTGGGCTAAATCTAGGAATACTCCAGGGCAGAATTTTTTATTTTCAAAAGAGGTTGCAATTTTATCAGTGAGACGTTGGATTTTGTGTATTGTTGAGTGGTTAGTTCTGAAGCCAAATTGTGAGTGAAGTATTATATTCTGGGATTTTATTATTGTCTTATTCTTTTCAAGATAATTTTTTCAAATATTTTTCCTAAAATAAGAAGAAGACTGATTGGCCTGTAAGAAGATACCTATTAAATGTTTTGGTTTATGATGTTTGTGTACGAGAATTACTATAGAGAACTTCCATGTTAAAGGGAAATAAGAGAGTCTTAACATGGAGTTGTAAGTGAATGTGAGAAGAATAATTGTTTTAGCATTTTGTTAGAAATTAGATCGTATCCGGGTGATTTTCATATTTTTAATTTATTAAATATTTGCTTTACTTAATTTGGAGAAGTGTGTTTTGCTAGGAGATTCATGGGTAGTGGACTATTCAAAAAGTTATTTATTGTGTTCAGGTGTTCAGGATCTGGGTTTATGTTTGAGTGGGGAGTATATATTTTTGAGATAATTTCCAAAAAGATTGGCCTTATCATTGTCTGATACAGAAAGTGCACCACTTGGATAAGTGATAATTTAATATAAGATATTTTTCCTGAAAAAATTCAGATTTATATTTTTGTATTTTGATTAAGTTAGATAAATTGTTAAACATTTGTTTGTCGGATGGGAGGTTGTAACGTTACCAACGTGAACGAGCCCTATGCTTTTTTAAAATTAATTCGTGAATATAGGGAGGAAGAATGTTATTGCTTATTGAATTGTTAAGTATATTTATAGGATTTGATGAGTTGAAGATAGTGGTTTGTAATGATTTGGTCAGGTTTTGAACTGCCTCCTCTATTTGATCATTTGTTTTAAGTGAGATATTTAAATTGGTGAGGTTTTCTAAGCTTTTAGAGAAGTAGTCCCAGTTGACAGGTCCTTTAGCCAAAGAAGGATGAGGAGGATTTTGAGTAGTCTTACCACTTATTTTCATAAAGATTGGACTATGATCACATGTTGGATCATCTAAGCTTTTAATAGTAAAATGTATGTATTTGGGGATTGAAGAAATAAAAAAATCTAAAATATCAGGATGTCTGTTTTGGTGTGTTGGCCAATATGTAGGGTTTGGTGGGGGGATTACTGAACAATTTTTATTTTGTATAATATTTTGAAACATACGACCTCTAATGTTTTGAACTTGGCAACCACATAGAAGGTGCTTTGCATTAAAATCTCCACCTATAAGAAAAGTTCGACCGAGATAACTCAAAAATTGCTTTGTCTGCTGAAAGGAGATTGCCGGTCTTGGAGGCAGTAAACAGAAGAGATAGTTGTTAGAATATGATTTAGAGTGATTAAAATTTTTGCGGCTTGGATTGTATTTGTCTGAAGGTTTGCTAGTGGTTGGCATTTAATTTTTGTGGAGATTATTATAGCAGATCTACCGTGGGCAGTTTCATCAGGATGGTCAGATCTGTATATATTATATCCAGGAAAGAAATGCTTAAAATCTATAGTGCAATGGGTTTCAGAGATTAAGGCGATGTCTATCTATTTTTCAATAAATAAGTTTAATAGCTCGGGTTCGTGTCGCTTTATTAATATGTTTGCATTCCAGAGAAATATACTGAGAGAGTTAATATTTGTTTGTCTATTTGTCATATTTTTTGATATTAATTTGTTTATGATAGTCGTGAGGAGTTGAATTAGGGGATTAATTATTAATTTTAATTCTCATAAGAAGGAGGAAAGTTGCGATGTTAGTATATTTTCTTGAGGGATGTTAGTTGTATTTGAGTTTGTGCTTGGGTTTGATTTAAAGTTTTGAGAATAATTGTGAGTATTGTTTTTGAAAGATTTGGGAATGCTTTAGTGTCATTTCTATTAAAATTTGGTAGGTCTGAAGGGTGTTTATCATCAGAAACTTCTTTCTTATTTACAACATTATTTGGGTATACATTTTTTTTTTTATTGTGAAATTTTTGTAAGTCTTTGTGGACCATACATCCACAATAGTTTGTCGGATGATTTCCACTACAGAGGGCGCATGTTGGAGGTTGATATTTAGTTTTGTTACACAAAGAAGACAGATGGTTTGCAGCACAGCCAACACAGCGAGATGGGTGGAAGCAGTAGGTTTTGGAATGGCCATACTTTTAACAATTAAAACATTGTACGAGTTCACGGCTTTTATGTGGTTCTTCGATTTTAATTTTTGTGTGGAGAATGGATGTTATATGAAATATGTCTTTGTTAATCTCGGCGGATTCAAGATCCACAAAAAATATCGGTAAAGCGAGTATAGTAATTTTGAGACGAACTTTCACTACTTGTCTTACTGTGAAGCTAATTTCTTGGATTGCGATTCCTATTTCGTTTGTCGGTGTAGAGGGATGGATATTTCTGATAACTACGCGAAACGTCTTGTTTTCACGTAGTTGATAGGTATGGTACTCGGCACCATTTTCATTAAGAAATTTTATAACCGCTCTATATGAGTCAGAATTTTTCGTTAAAATTTTTAAATAATTAATGGACGATTTAAATAAGAAATTTTCTGGGCCGATTAAATTTATTAAATTTGAGCGAAGACTGACAAAATCGTTTGTTTTGTTAACTATAATCGGTGGCGGTAATGGAGTTTAATCTCTTCATTGATAACGGTAGGGTCAATGTGTTTGGTTGTGATATCTATCGACGTCTAAACATGTACATCGAGACATGCATATCTATTCGAAGTTGCGAATAAGGGCTTGTTTTTTTTTTTGATGTGGGTGGTTCGTTGGATGAGAGATTACGTTTATTTGGGTTTTCTGGTTGATTTTCAAAAACATGATATACTTTCGATACGATTAGAGGAAATAGAATTTTTTGATTTTTTTTTTTTGGTTTATTTATGTTAGCATGCGTTTGATTATTCATTATGTATATATTGCGATAGTGCGTATTGATGCAATTAAGTTAATAGGCTGCCGCCGACTGATAGCCGGGGAGTTCGAAGTTACAATAATTGATATCTCTTTTTTTTTATTATTTAAATAGCAATTATAATTACCAATATTTTTTGTACTTCAGGGTTAAGTGGTTTGAATAGAATTCAGTGTGGTGATGGAAATATTCAGGACAGCTTTCTGATTTTTTTGGTACGAAACACGACTTCGTAGGTATTTTTGTTGCAGAGAAAGATTAAAGACATAGAGCACAGACTGAGAACAGCATTGAAACGCGTGCGTTTTGTACAGCTCATACGCGGTGAATGAGTATTCAATTTAAAATATGAAAACATTGCTTACAATAATGGTTGCAGATGGAAACAAATAAAGCTTGTTGGTAATTCTATATTTCCATCAAGAGTGTATAGCAACTACAAATAGTGCAAATGGAGAGAACGATATCAAGTTTTAAATGCAACTATTAAGTAAACATATATTAGATAGATACTAAGCCTAAAAAATATTACTTAAAGTAATAAATAATATAATTAACATTAAGTTTTCTAATAACTATTGCAATAGTAATAAAATATTATTGTATATTAATAGGTATATATTATTTAGTATAATTTATTATTTTTTAATGTTATCTATGCTTTATCAGAACATACCTCCTGTATGTTCTTAATCTAAAATAATATTTTCCATGGATTTAGTCAACTCTTCCAAGAACCATTACGTACATAAACTAATCGTGCACAATGCACCAGGCACCAGCCACACTAACACCAATTTCTCCTTCCCGTTAATCTATCTCCAAACGTGTTATTATTTTTTTTTTTTTTTGTAGAAAGTCGAAAAGTTTTGTTTTTCTTCTTAGTTCTTGTTTACCTCATTTAGAGTAGATGACTTATTAAAGTTGTAGTTGTTGTGTATTTCGTGTAAATATCGTAATGTTTTCAGAAAAAAATGAATACACTTACGTAGTATAAATCATTGTTAACTATTACTCATTATTATTATTTTACTGTTTGTCATCTGCGTTATACCGTGATTATTTATGTTTTAAATTGTATTGTAAAAATTATCTCGTAAAAGCGATTGCACTAAATAACCAAAATGGAAATAACTAATTAAAGTGTATCGCATATTGGTACGAAATTGTAATGTTATTTAAAATTCCTATTCCGTGGTCGTTATAATTTAATAAATTGTACTGATTTCGGGCAGCATCTGTTGTACGAATCTGGATACTTTCAATACGGAAATCTGTGTCAATGAATGCTGGTAAGTTTTTAGATTTTCATTTTTATTTAAGTTTACATTTTTTTAAATAATTAAAAAAATAATGTTATATGGTATGCTTTTTAGAAAAGATTTTATAATTTAAAACTCTCGCGATGTATTATTAAGTTAACATTGTAGTTGAAATTTAATCTTAGTTTTTTTTTCTTTTAATTATGTTAGTGTTAATTATTTTAATTTTTTAAATATTAGTATTATTTTTGGATTATAAATAAGTAATGTTTTTTCTATTATTTTCTATTAATTTTATGTTATTCTGATTATTTTTGATTATTTATAATAAATATGATCTACAATTTTGAAATATCTTATATTAATGTAAAACATAGATTCTTAGTAAGAAATCATTTTTATAAGTTATAGCCAGTTATAGCTTGTTAAAAAATGTTTATAAGTTATTATATAAAGAAAATATTTTTTAGAGAGAAAGATGTGGATATTATCTAATATAAGGATTCAATATTTTTATCTTAATTAAATCATTTAGATCTTCAAAAATATTTAGTGTTATATTTGGTTGATAAACCCAATCAAGTTTGATTCCTTCATTTTAAATTAGTTGCCAGCACAAAATTAAATTTTAAAGAGTATACTTTTAATTTTAAACCATTATTTGTATATTTATAAATATATCTATTAGGAAAAATTGAAGTATAAAAATATATAGTTATACAGAAATGAGTATGAATAAGGGTTGCTAGTGAATGAAATCAAGAGATGGGAGATAGGACTATGTGTAGGTTGAAGACAATTTTGACCATAAATGTTTAGGAGAGAAGTTAAGATAAGGAAGAAGATTCTATTAAAAATTTAAATAAATATGCTTACAGGAAGCCGTATATTTAAAATTCAGCTGTAGTTTAAAATCTATGAATTTATTTAAATATCTTGATTACATATTTAAATGATTATTAACTATTTATCTATTTACTTAGATTTACTTGAAAAAAAATTTAACATTTAAGGGTATTTTTGGAAGTTTTTGAATCCAAATATTTAGTCTTTTGTTAAAATTATTTTGTGATATAATATTTATATTTTTGTGTATAAATTATCAATAATTTTTTTTCAAATCATAAATAATATTCTTATTTGGTAATTTATGTTGTATTTTTTAGTAATAATTGGTTTAATAATTGGTTTAATTTTCAAACTCAATAGTTTTTCATGATGTTTTGTTTTATTTTAAGAAATACTTTTTTCTTAAAGCTGTAACAATAAAAATTGTTAATTTTAAAAAAATACTTAATACTTAATACTACTTTAAAAAGTAGTAAATATAGTGTTTATATCAAACTTGAAAGTTTATTTGGAGTATAATTCCAATAAATCATGAATACCAGTTTATGTTAATGACGTCAATTGAAATATTTAGCACAGATAATAATTCTGATGATGCCAGTTGACGGAATTTTCAGTTAATGTGTTAATATTAGTATAGCCTTTTAAAAATTGTCATACTAAGTACTAGTATTTCTTATTTATTATGTATTAATATCTAAATAAGAAGACTAAAATATATGCTTTTTCTTATTAAAAATAATTTTTTTTCTTCTCAGACATAATTTATACTTAGTTGAAAGTAGTTATTAACAATTAACTAACAAATTAACAGTATTAAGTTTATTTCAAAAAAAAAAAAAAAAAATAGGTATACAAAAAAAAGTATTATTTACATTTTTATAAGAAATCTAAAATTTTATTTTTTATGTCTCTTAAGAGAAACAAGATTCTCTCAAAGCTATAAGGACTAAGAGTATCTTATGCCATATAAGTAATCAAATAAAATTGAAATATATATTACATAATATATTTTTACTTTTAATATTGTAAATATAATATTAATTAAAAAAATAATGGTATTATTTTGTAAATTATATTTATATAAGTAATAATAATAAAAATGTCAATAACAAAAAAAAAAAGAAATGAACATGAGAAAATAAATTTTTCATTATATTTTATACAAGATTTTATCTTTTGTTTGAATAGTATTACTAGTACTAATTGTAGAAGAGTATAATCTAGTTTTATTGCACTAAATTTAAGTTTAAATATTTTTACTAGTTTGTTATGAAAGTGTTTAGTATATATCCCGGTATGTATGTTGTATATTTGTATTTAATGTATTCTCAACCACTTAATCAAATATATTTTGGACTTCATTCATTTACATTATTTTATGTAGATTATTTATTCTGTATTTTAATTTAATATAATTTGAAAAATTTGATCAAATTTTTTGCATTTGTGGTTAAAACTGTGTATTACTTTTTTACAAATAGGTAATGTATTAAATATAGGGTAAAAATATGGAATATCTAGATTATTTTTAATTAATAAAAAAAAGTATTCCTACTTGTTAATAATTAATTCTAAAATTAATTTATATATCTGTTGTTCAACATACTTTATAACATTTTTAAGTAAAAATAACTTAAATAAGTAAAAATTCATTTGTTTCTTATGTTTTTTTCTGGGTATAATGAAATATGAATTTGTATGCAATTATAATTGTATTACATTTATAATTTATCAATATTATTATTTTATCAAATAAATATTTAAAAGGGAAAATTAATTATCTAATCATATTATATATATAATTTTCTAATCATATTTTGTACTGTATATGTTTAGACTGATACTTGTTAAATATGGATTACAATAAATATTATAAAAAAATATGATGGCCTATCACTGTTATAAAATAAACATCTGTTATACATATATAGATTACATAGATAGTTTATGTATCGTTTAATTACTAAGGAAAAACATTTATTTGATATTATAACTACTTAAGAAATATTTTTAGTATTTATTAATTAATTTTAATAATTTTTAAAGTATATTACAAATATAATAAATATTAACAAAAATAATATTAAATCATTAAAAATTAATAAATTATAATTGTATGTATACCTTATATATTTCTTCCTAATTTTTAAAATAGTGTTTTATTTTCTTGTTATAATATTAAACATTTAAATTGTTCTAGTCCAGTATAACTTAACTCACATAGTTCATAGTTTACTTTTTGTTGTTGTGTTTATTTTTTTATGTATCTACAATATATCCTTCTAAAATTGTATAATGGGTATTCATATATCAATATTAAGATTTTTATTGAATATTATATCATTTAAAACATTATATTTTATAATTAAACTTTCTTTTTATACAAGAAAAAGGTTTCTTTGATAAATCATATGATTTATTTATTTATAGAAAAAACTTGGATAGAATATAATACAAAATACTAATAATTCTTATAATATAGATAACTGAAAAAAATGTATGCATAGTACAGTAAAATAACAAGAGGAAAAATTAGTTATAATAATAATAATAATAATAACAAAGCATATCAAAAATTTAGAGAATGAAAAATGCATAATGACTATTTTTACCTTAACTATGAAATATGTGATTAAAATTTTAAAAATACACTTAGACATTTTATTGAACAAGTAAATAGCATACTTGTATATTAATATACACCTGTATATTGTTGTTTATTATAATACATAATTGTTGCTAATATTAATTTTTCTTTGATAAAATGATTTAATTAACTTAATATAATTTTTTTAATATTCATTGTATTTTTACTATTTATTGGGGGTACTTTCTTGTTATATGAGACTATAGCTGTTATCACGACTACCACCCAAGACTACCTCCATTATGTTTGTGTGTTTGTAGTCTTAGATAACAGGATTGTGATGTGATCAAAAAACAGGGTAGTCTCGTATAACAGGAAAGTACCTTATTGGGCTATTAATATTTCTGTATCTTTTATATAAATACATTTGATAGTATAGATAGATTATAAAAAATTAACTATTCTAGTGATAACAATTGTAAATTAATTTCATGCATGATACATTTTTAGAATTTCTTGTAGAGTAGCCTTGAAGTATTATTGAAACAAATAGGTTTTTAATTGTATTTTGATGGTTTGTTAAGCGAATGAATTATTTTTTTTTTAGATAATGGCAAATATTTTAAATTAGCTGTATATTTTAAGGCTCTTATTTGCATAGGTTGTGTTGGAAAAATAACACTTTTTATTTAGTTATAATAGATTTGAACTATATAATATATTTTTAACTTTAAAAGGAATAAGTTTAAACTAGTTTATCAGTGGGCAATAGTTAAGTGATTTAGTTTAAGTTAAATTTAGTATATAAATTAATTAATTTATACCCTAATTTGATAATAACCAAATATTAATAATAAATGGAAGAATACACCATGTACCTATAAAATAATATTTATAATTTTATTTATTTAAATAATACTAACTTACTGATCTAATAATTACAAAAATAATTTCACTACCTAAAAGTTAGCTTAAAGATTATGTAATAGTAATTTTTAATCTTATTAATTCTTTGAATAACTTAAGGTCATTAGTTTTCTAATATATCTTTAACCAGTAGTTTTTGAATTGTGTTTTATCTATGACACAGGATTCTTTCTACTGTGCTAAGAGAATTCTTGTCTCGTTTCCTTTAGACGGAGAAAAGTTCAGAAATAAAAAGCATAGGTATTCTTAAAGCAAAACAATTTAAAAAAATAAATGTTAGCTGTTTACCGATTATATGTAATTTTGTGTTTCAGTATAATTTATTTAATAAATGTTTTTAGCTATTAGTGATTAGGTGTTATGTGATATAATGATAACCTATTATGTTTTTTGCTATATCATAGGTATTTACAATGCACTATAATTTAATAATATTTATACTTACTAAATCAGTAAAGCCTTAAGACAGAGAATGACAAATTACACATTTTTATTCAAAATTAAGTCTATTAATAAATTATACATTATAAGTATTACAATCTTCCTGCCATCTAGTATATTATATAGACAGTATATAACTTATTATATATCAATATGAGAACTTAGATTAAAATTGACCTTCATTATAAAATGTAATAATATTTATTTCGGATTTAAGCATTGT